GAGTCTTCACACTAACCACACCAAGGTTCCGAAACCCAGACACTTCACACCAGCCACACCAAGGTTCCGAAATCCAGATGCTTCACACTAGCCATGCCAAGGTCCAGAAACCCAGATGCTTCACACTAGCCACACCAAGGTTCAGAAACCCAGATGTTTCACACTAACCACACCAAGGTTCTGAAACCCAGACACTCCACACTTACCACACCAAGGTTCAGAAACCCAGACACTTCACACTAGTCACACCAAGGTTCTAAGACCCAGATGCTTTACAGTTGGCACACCAAGGTTCCGAAACCCAGATGCTTCACACTAGCCACGCTTCACACTTACCACACCATTTCACTTTCCAGTTGCGATTGGCATCAACTCCGCGGCAGCGAAACCTAGAGTTTCTGGACCTTGTCTTTCTCCAGAATCGATCCTAGACAAGATTAAAACATCAGACAGTGAACATGGTACTTAAAACGTGCTTTAGCTTCATTTCCGATGCTGTGATAAAAATATCCCAACAAAAGGAAAGTTGAAAGAGAAAGGGATTGTTTGGATTACACTTCCAGGCTGCAGTCTGTCATTAGGTGGAGGAGGGAAGTCAAGACAGGAATTGGAGCAGCTAGTCTCTTAGTTTAGTCTTTAGTTTAGTCCAGAGCTGGGTCCATGAGATGGTGCTGCCCACACTGGGCTAGTTCTTGCTAAATGAATTAACAACCCAGGCAATCCCCCACAGATGTGCCCACAGGCCAGCCTGATCAGATCGCAGGCGATTCTAGATTGCATTAAGTTGTGATTCTAGATGGTGTTGAGAGTTAAACCTCACCAGCACAAAAGGCTATTCATATGTATTTTAGTTGCCCAGTGGGTAAAGGTAGCACATCACTTTGGGGTGAGCTCCTCTAGCACAGACCAGCTAGGAGAAGACAGAGGCAAAGATTAGCCTGGCCCCAGCCCCATGCTCTGCTTTCTGACACCATCTTAGTATCTCCCATATTTTTGGCTTTTTTTCTTAGACCGTTTGATACAATGGATCTTAGTCATCTTCTCCTCTATCTCCTTTGGCTTATCTTTATAGGTAAATTGAATGGGTTAGGCGATGCTAGTGATTTTTAATAATTTATTTGGAAGAAGAAACATTAATTTCCATGAAGTTGAATGCAAAAGCAAATTATGAAAATGACTGAGGAGGAAGCCTCTGACGTCTCTGGAACCCATTAGTGGGCAGATCAGCCAACTCCTTTCCCACTTCACTTCTGTTTTACAGCCTATTCAGTCCCCTTCCCAATTGTATAGGCAAAGCAACTTACGTGCGTCCAGCTGAAATGGTATCCATCGACATTAAGCACAGGCATGATATAGAAGTAGAGATGATTCAACATTTTTCTCATGGCTGGGTCAGTCTTGTAGGTCAGAAGGGCCTGAAGGACAAAAGAGACAGTTCCCTGATTGCTGGATACCAAAAGGGAGTTGAAGAGAAAAACAAGTGGAAGAAACCCTCTCTGTTCAGAGGAGGACCACACATGCTGGGCTGAAAAGTAACAAGTAAGGGAACTGTGCTCTGTTATTTTCTCTGAACAAGACTCTTGAAATCTGTGGGCAAATGGATGGCTCTAGAAAAAACCATATTGAGTGAGGTAACCCAGACCTAGAAAGACAAATATCATTTGTACTCACTCATAAGTGACTTTTAGACATAAAGCAAAGAAAAACCAGCCTATAGTTTGCAATCCCAGAGAATCTAGATAACAAAGAGGACCCTAGGAGAGACATACATGGATCTACGTAGGAGGGAGAAAAAGGCAAGATCTTCTGAGTAAATTGGGAGCATGGGAGTCACAGGAAAGGGTAGAAGGGGAGGGGGAGGAAGGGAGTGGGGTGGAGAAAGATGTATAGCCCAATAAAAAAGACTCTTGGTTACCAATATTACTGGTAATAATACCAATATTGATATTTTATTACCAATAATAATAACTTTTTTGTTGTTGTTGCAAATTCTTCTATTTTGTTACAGAAATCCCAGGCAAATCCTTCAGAGAATGGACTTTGTATTAACACAAAGCTGCTAAGTGAAAACCCAAATGAACAATAAAGAACTTAAGCCAGATCTCAAATAATCACACACCAGCCCCAGGGCCATCAGCCAGGAGAGACTTACTTCAGAGCTGACAATGGTACTCTTTTTTTTTTTAAAATAACACAATTCTTTATTGATTCTTGGGAAATTTCATATCATGAACTCCAAACCCACTCACCTCCCAATCTTCCCTCACCTCTGCAGCGTCCCTGCAGCCCCCTCAGATCAATTTAAAACAAAACAAACAAAAAAAAAAGCCCACCTTGCTCCTCTTCCAACACCTCTTCATTTATCCTAGTGGTAATAGGTGCTGCAGTGTGTCACACCGTGTAGCCTTCTGTCCCATCAGCCCCTCCCACAAATGCTCATTATAATGAGTTATTGGTCTGACTCACGGTCCCTGGCACACCATCATCACTGGACCCTCACCAAAACTCCTCTTGGGTATCCTGCAGCTGCCCCGAGTCATGGACATCCTGCCATTATCATTCTGCAGCACTAGTCTCTTCATAGTCCAGCAGGTCACAAATGGGGTAGGAGCCATGGACATCAACTCAGATCCTGGCTGCTGCTGGGCCATAGACCAAGACATGACTCCAGGCAGCAGCCCGGGCCCAGATGGCACCATGGTCCCATGTGGCAGTGCAGGGCACCCAAATCAGCATGACCCCAGTGGTGACATGTCCCTCAGACACCAACATAGCCAAAGGTTGCAGCCTAGACCCTGCCAGCCATGTGGCCTTTGGTGTTACCATGGGCAATGGATATCAACACAAACTCTGGCTGTAGTAGGACCAAGGACCCAGACATGGTCTTCGGTAGCAGCCCCGGGCCCAGATGTCACCATGGCCCCAGGTGACAGTGCAAGCCACTCAGATTGGCATGACCTCCACAACATCATGGCCCTCAGACACTGACATGGTTGCAGGTGGTGGATCAGACCCCTGAGATTGTCAAGACTTTCAACATATAGGAGCCATGGACATCAACACAGACCTCAGTTGTGATAGAGCAACAGGCATAGACATGGTCCTAGGCAGCAACCTGGCCTGGATGACACCATTGCCCTGGGTGCAGTGTAGGCCACTCAGATTGGTCTGGCCCCCAAGACAGCATGGCCCTCAGACACCAACATGGCCCCAGGTGGTAAATTAATCTTGATTGTTTATCAGCAGAGCCCGTAAATAGATGAACAAATTCTTAGAGTGTTTTAGCTCTGCCTAAATTTTAGGACTAAGGAAAAAACATAAGAAATATAGAGATTTTGTACATGCATGTGCATGCATGCGTGTGTGTGTGTGTGTGTGTTGGAAATTAAACCTAGACAAGTAATTTTCCTCTGATCTGAACCCTAGATGTAATTATTAATATATGTAATATAAATGTATATGTGAATATATGAATACGTGTATATATGAATACACATATTAGTTAACTTTGAATTCTACAATGCGCTTCCCTAATACATCGTACCACACATGATTTACATGTCACATGCTTGTTAGGTGACAGCCTCAAGCCTTCATACTTATCATATGGAGACTAATCTCTCCTGACTTCTCTTGAAAAGTTTAGTGGCTGACATGGTGTGGGAGAATTGTCTGTATTCTGTCAATCATATTTTAATAAAACGTGGATTGGCCAGGCTGGCAGTATAGGCGGAAAAGCCAGACAGGAAGTAGGGGTGGAGCAAAGAGACTGGGAGTATTCTAGGAAGCTCCCTCTGCCAGTTCTGCCCAGACCACCGGAGAGGAAAGATGTAAGCTGCCCTGCTAGAAAAGGTACTGAGCCATGTGCTAACGTAGATAAGGATAATGGGGTAACATAAGTTATAAGAGCTAATGAGTAGCCTGACCTAATGGGCCAATCAGCTTTATAACTTATAGAGATCTCTGTGTGATTGATTTTCTCTGGGACTTGCCGGTTGTGGGGTACTGGGCGGGAACAGAAATCCCAACAAGCCGGCCCTCATGTTACACTGACACACCTTTGTCACCTTACGACAGTCCCTTTGGGGTCTTGTTCTGTGTATGTACGCTCATGTCTGTAAAGGGACATGTGTACATGTGTGTGTACAGGTAAGAGGACAATGAAGGGTGTCACTCCTCAGGTGTTGTCTACCTCATTTTTATTTTAAGACATGGTCTTGCCAGGTGATGGTGGTGCACTCCTTTTAATCCCAACACTTGGAAGGCAGAGGCAGGCAGATCTCTGTGAGTTTGAGGCCAGACTGGTCTACAGAGAAAGTTCCTAGAGAGGTCCTAAAACTACACAGAGAAACTCTGTCTTGAAAAACCAAAAACCAAAAACCAAACCAAACCAAACAAACAAACAAACAAAAAAGACATAAAGGCACGGTCTCACTGATGTGAATTTACTAAGTAGGCTAAGTTGGCTGACTAGTAAGGAACAGTGATCCACCTGCCTCCACTTCCTGGGATTACAAGTGTGTACACACCCAGCAAATTTAAAATTAGGTTCCAAGGACTGAATTCAGGTCCTATGCTTACAGAGCAAGTACTTGTCTGACTGAGCTATTGTTATGATTGGATTTTACTTAAATTTGATGCCACGTCTGAGGACTTTGCATCACAATTTTGGAGTCAAACAGAACCCCATAGTGTACACTAAGTTAGGTACAGAAAACAGACATTTAAAAAAATCTATTTATACGGAATAGAATTGCTTGTCTCTGTGTGGGATATCTGGGAGAAACAGGAAATTTCTAACAATGATTGTCTCTGGGGAGTTGGCCCAGGAAACAGTGTGTGGGAAGGAGTCTTTTCATTTAAAATCCATTTAGGCTATTTGAATTTTTCTTTTACCATCCTAAAAGTACAATTCAAAGTATCTCTTAAAAATAGTTCCACATTATTAAAGTGTGATTGACATAGAAAAGTTGTACGTATTTAATGCATACAGTTTGCTTAATTTAGAAATAAGTATACCCTTGTGAAACTCTCACCATAATCCATGCCATAAACATATCCATGGCCTCAAAAAGCTTCCGCTTGCCTTCTTTATTATGTCTTGTGAGGTAGGAACACTTAAGACATGGCCTTTTAGTAAAGGTTAAAGGATATGATGCAGCACTGGCAACTGTAGGTCCTATTTGCCACAGCTGGTCTCTAGGACTTATTCGAGATGAGATTTGCACACTATGACATTAGTGAGTATTCTCCTGCTTCTAGCTTGATGTCTATTGATGTGACAGAGAGCCTGGCTGAAAGCCACTTGTGGAGGAAAGGGTTTGTTCACTTCCATGCCATAGTCCACCGTCAAAGGTGAGTCAGGATAGGAACTCAGGCATGAACTCGGAGGCAGGAACTAAAGCAGAAGCATGGAGCGTAGCTTACCAATTTACTCTTCATGGCCTGTTTAGTTTACTTCCTTGTACAGCCCAAGATTACCAGCTCTTCTGTGGCACCACCCACAGTGGGCTAGGCCTGTCTGCGTCAATTATTAATCAAGAAAATTCCCCACAGATTGGCCTTCAGGCACACGTCTTTAAACCTAGCACTTAGAGGGTGCAGGTAGGTGAACAGAACAGGCCAGACTGTTTTATCTACATAGTAAGTTCCAGGCTACCTAGGGCTACAGACCATGTCTCATAAACAAATCAAATAAAGCAAAACTTAAGCCATATTGTTCTCTTTTTTAAGGCTCAACAGTAAGTTGTTGGCCAGCTTCAATAGAATTTCCACAAATAAGCAAAATTTCTATTAACTAATGTCTTTACTGTACAAATACTGGAAAGTTGATCTTCTTTAACAAGCTGTATTGGTTACTTTTCTATTAATATAAAAAAACACAATGACCAAGGCAACTATAGAAGGAAAAGTTTAATTGGCTTATGGTTCCAGAGGGATTGGAGTCTGCATGGCAGGGAAATATGGCAGCAAGCAGCAGACATGGGTGCTGGAGTTGAAGCTGAGAGCTCATAACTTGAACTACAAATATAATACAGAGTGCTCTGGGAAGGACTTGGGGCTTTTGAAACATCAAAGCCCTCACCAGTAATATAATTCCTCCAGGACCACCACACCTCCTCAAATGGCTCCACAAAACTGGCCTTAAAAGCTCCACACAGCCAAGGATGACCTTGATCTTCTGGTCCTATTGCCTCTGCTTCCTGAATATTCAATGCCACACCTTGCTTATTTGGTACTGTGGATGAAACCAAGGCCTGCATATGCTAGCCAAGCTCTTTGCCAACTGATCTGCACATCCTTAGCCCATAAAGCTCCTTATAAATATTTTAGCTGTGGGCCACTTATCACTCACAAATGCCCTTTCCCTGCCCACTGTTCAACGTTTTATGTAGTAGATTGTTTCCATTTTGAA